CTTGCAAAGTTGAGTACAGATTAAGACAACACAAAGGCGGAAAATAAATAAATGTTGGTATATGTACCACGATCGTTATTTTTCGCTAAGAGAAGAATGGTTCCTACTGTATTCCTTCAGAGGACAGAAGTGTAGAACTGGTAACTAATAGATGCGCTTTAGGCCAGAAGCAGTGCGTAATATAAACATCCTCTCCTATATTATTGCAGCAGTATAGGTGCGTCTTGCGTCTCTCATACGTAAGCAATCTTTATAAATTAGGTCTCTAAAGAAAGAGAATGTTACGGAGGCGTGACGAATTGCGCTTCAACTTTAGAAAGTGTTTGTTAAAAAACAGAAACGTTGAATATCAGGGTTTGTTAAAAAATAAACTAAAATCTAAGTATCCATCTAAAGAAATTCTAAATATTCATGTGTAATGAAACCCGTAGTACTCGGGCAGCATGTTGAAATCTATATAGCTACATAACTCCAAAAGGAAGCGTTCTAGAGCCTTAAAACTAGAAATTTGGAAGCCAGGAGTCTCATCGAACAGTTCCTTACTTCATAATCTATAGAGTAACTATCTATAGAATGAGTCATTCTATTACATTTTCGCTAGTTCGGCGTTCTCAATTCCCACCTATTCAGAGACGTGCAGAATCTGCGACGTTTGTGAAAATAAACTAATTACTTGATTGAATTGCACAGGTGTACGTTTATGTTTGATAACAACGTTAAATAAGAAGAGTTTGTATTGACAAGGGTGTATTGTACTGTTATGTTAAAATACTTTCAGTTAATACAATTACATGGAGACATATAGAACAAGTGACGGAAGATAAGAGGGCCTTGAATAAAAAGATATATAATGAGCAAATAGACGTGTTAATACATTTTTTAAACACATCTAGTATACAACTTCCGACTCTTTTTATGTGGAAATGAAAAAACAGGGAAAAGGGTGGAGTTTATCATGCGAGAGTTCTCGCACGGGTATGCTAGTTTTTAATCAAATAGCAAAGTACTGTAAAATAAAATAAAAGAAAAATATATATTTTTAAAATTTGTACAAATTACATTAAAAATAATAACATTACATACTGTTGGTTGCATATGGTTGGCTATGAAGAATACCCGGGGAACACAGGTATTTTATTAGTTTTGGATAATTCAGATATTTCAACGAAAATTACACCTACGCAATTTTAAGCGTTCTTTACGGTATTTATATACAAAGTTCAATGAAAGATTTGGAATCATTTTCGAGCAAATTCAGAAAGTGTTGAGATACAAAGTACCTCCAAAAATCAAAATATCCATTACAAACATGCTACGCCTAGAGTTCATTTAGATCGATTGGCGAATATCAATTTTGGGGAAAATCAGCTGTATTGGTATTGTGGTGAGTTTTCATTGGCATTTACAATGAAATAATTATATGAGTCATTGCCAACAATATTTGTGGCAATATTGTTGGCAATGCCGACTCATATTTCTTCGAATATCAGCTGAACAGTCAGACGTCATTCTCGCTTCAGCTGCGGGCCAGTGCAGCCGCTTCGCTAACAGCAGCTAGAATCGTTAAGTGTGGAAGTGCAACTCTACATCACTCCGAACGTTAGGAACTTTGTGTTCGAATAGTGTTCAATGGTCATAATTAATCACTACTAGTGCTTTAGTAGTTGAATGAACAACAGTGATTTATCCAGCTCAGGGCGAATGGTCAGTATAGCCCTAAATACGTTGCATCATACGAAAGAGTCAACTAATGTGGTTCCCGACGAAGGGAACGTGAATCTCACGGACAGGATGGAATTCACCGAAATACCGCCTTAACGTCAACACAACGCAAGCAACAACATCCAATTCGGGGCCGGATCATCAGGCCAGCCCGAGGAACGAATGCATTCACAACAGTCAACCCAACCGCATCATAACAAGGTAATGTCGCAAAGGAAAGCGATCCAGCGATAACGACAGTGATAGTAGAGACCTTAAAGGTGTAACCACAGTTAGCAGGGTCGAACCTACAAAGTCAATACAATGTAGAAATCAAAAACACAATTACTTGGCTAAACGAATAGATCCCAGATGATCTAAGTCTGGAAAATAAAATCCACCAATTTTTGTTACTAATTTTGAAAATCAAGTTTCCCTCGCGAATGAAATAAAATTTGTCTCATCTGAATTCACTACAAAATTCAAAAATCAAAAGATTCGAATTCAATTCCAATCAGTGACCGACGTATGAAAAGCAGTTAAATATTTCCTGGCCACCAAAAAACAATTTCACACGTATTCGGATAAAATTAATAAAAAATACTCAATAGCGATAAAATGTTCATTCTTTATGCTCAGAAAATGAAATATTAGCGAAAATCAATAACAAATTCAATTCTGCTACAAAAGTTACTCGACTATATAAAAAAGCTGAAGTCTTGGCCTCCAACTTTGTTAACGCTTTAACTCCCGAAGATTTGAAACACGGCGAAATTATGACAATGTTCAATGCTCCCCTATGTTCCCCCAAATACAATTCATGTCCCCTAATGAAATAAGAAAAATAATAAAGAATATGCCAAATAATAAAACACCAGGCCACGATCAGATCAACACAATCATTTTAAAAAATCTACCGGGGAAAGCCATTGTTTTTTTAAATATTAACAACTCTGTATTGAGAACAGGATATTTTCCTCAGTCAGTCATTCATTCAATTGCAAAACTAAACAAGAATCACTCAAAAGCAGAGAATTACAGACCTATCCGCCTGCTACCTATAATGTCAAAAATCTTAGAGAAATTAATACTCATCAGATTGAACAAACATATCAAGAAAACAAACAAAATGCCACAGCTCAAACAACGGCGCAGAAATGCCAACATTACATTGCTAGAATGTGTAAATGCATAGATAAAACTGACGGCATTAATTCAGATAATTTGAAGATACTGATGAAGTGGTCTGCAACTTTTCCTTCCTCGACTTTCACAAGTTCAAGTTCTTTTTGGCGTGAAACTTGAAACAATTAAATAAGTTTACCTTTTCAAAGGTCCAAGAAAGACAAGAAGCATTTTTTATTGCAAAGAGGTAAACTGATTAAATAAGTCCATATATAGAAGTATGTCTAGTTGAACAATGTTTTTATCAACGTTGTGATCATGTAAAAACATTGTCTGTTAATACTTCAATTTATGAAATTATTACAAAAACATAAATAATAACATAATTGACTAAATAAAATTTGAAACCGAATTTAATTTTTTTAAATGTTGAAACTACCAAGACTGCTGTAGTAGTTAATGTGAGACATGTCTGGCAGATCAAACGGTGATTGATTAGTTTGAATTTATTTGTATAAATAAAAAATCTAAAAGTAATAAATTTTGACATTGCTTTATTTCTTCACACTGTAATGGAAATAAAGTGTGCCAACCTGTCACAAGACCTGCAACCACCAGCACCACAAGTGAAGTTGGGTGGCACATCATGAGTTCGGGGTTTTAAAGGCTTTAATAGTTCGACAGTAAAATATTCACGAATAAAAATATCATAAAATATACTACTAATAATGTAGTTTCCATCGATATAATAAAACCTAATTAAACTAAACCGTAATTGAGTAAAAATTAAAAACTGTCAATTGATGACCCTCCAGTCTCAAGCACCACTTTCTTGATTTCAGGGTAATCATATAGTTCTAAAGACTTATACATCACAAACGCTGTAATTTAAAGACCATTCTGAAAATAAGTCGTTAGGTTTTTCGTTTTAATTGAATTTAGGTTTTAATTGTTTTCTGTTTAGTTCTAACCTGTCAATCTGGACGTCGGTTTCCTGGGTTTGTTTAATTCCGTAACGCATATGTCAGAATGGTCGTTACCTCCCCCCCCCCAGAGGTAAACATTCAGTTTGTCCTGCCATTTTGAATTCTTAATTTTTGGAATCAAGAATTTTTATTCAATGGATTAGCCAGACCTGACCTCGCATTTTATTCACTTGCTGCAAGTGATCTTTCGAGAACATTCAAGCCTTATTTGGAATGACCTATGAACCTATCCTAGATAGTGTCTCATATTATTTATGTTTATTTTTCATTAATGCAAAATATACATGAAATACAAGAAACATCAATTTCCAATTATGGTATAAAACAAACTTATGAAAAAACAATTTTAAGGAATGCATTATGTTACCATATCGTATCGATCAATGCCAATGAACTTTCTCTCTTGAAAAACTTACCTTGTTTTGAGCCACATTCTTCTTTACAATGGACAGCAATGGTCTAGCGCCTCTTGTTTTTCCTGTTGTCATTTTGAACATTTTGGAAAGCACTTCCCTCCAATTCACACATTTTTTCAATAATGGATTTAATATAGTTTGTAAAATATATTGCCTTTGAATTTTTATTTAGTCAAAACACTACAATTAATTTTTTAAATGTTGATAAAACTATCACACTAAAATAAACTACAATGGTTCCGGTTTTTAAAAGATTTACAGTGAGTTTATAATTTTCCAATACTTATATGATTTAACACTAATAATTTCACTTCATACTTCAAATGAGTAGCATGAAAATAATGCAATTTTCTATTGCTCTTGAGAAGAAATATTCTAAATTTTATCTGTGCGTAGAGTATATCTTTTAATGGTTCACACACATTCATATTTATTTTAACTTATTTGCATACTACTCCATTTGAACATTAAATACATCATTTTCCCCACTTATTGAATAAAATATTACCTGAACATAAGTAACCAATTTATTTATATTAAATTTATGTTAAAATATCCACAAGATAATGATCTACATTTATATTTTTTAATATATTGCGCCAATTAAAAGGTTGACATAACAAGGTTTTAGGTTAAGAACAGTTTGTTAACTTTTACATTAAATAAACTTCCCAAACATAGTAACCACTGGTAGAGAGCGAATAAATAAACAAATGTCGTACAATGCATTACTCATTTGGTGACTATTTTTAAATAATTCATGGATTTTGTTTCATAATGGATATAAAATATCATAATGTCCTGGTCTGTAAAGCAGATGAATCGAAGGATGTTGCCCTTCCAGAAAATCATGAGCTATAACTTCTGCAGAACCTCCTCTATCCATATAACGAACTCGAACACCGACGTTCAGGGCAGTACTTAATGCAATCACATGTATATGATCACTTTCTTTATACATAGGCTCCACTTCCTGATGACAAAAGTCTACAACGGGACGATCTCCTTCAATAAAATGCTGATAGAATTCTGCATCTTGTTGAAGTTGGCCAGATGTTATAAGACGCAAATACACCACAATATAATCTGAAACATCTTGTTCATTGAAGAGTTTTTGTAAGTCCATGTGAGAAAATTTATTTGTTCCCCCACCTACACGTCTGACAACATCCATGAAAGTTTCGTGAAAATCTTCAATAGTAAATTGTGGAAATCCGAGGGTTACCAATTTGTCTTTACTTTTTAGGGCTATTGAGTAAAATCTTTCATATTCCTCTTTGTTAGTCAAGAGTAATTCCAAATAGGAGAATATAAATGCACGATAAAAGCAATTTCCATCAGGTCGCGTTCGACGCATGCTTTTGTACAGAGTTGTTAAGTATCTCACCTTTTGACAGTACACTGTGTCTCCAGAATATTCGTCAAATAGCGATGAAAAAGTTTCCATGTCTCCAATCAGAGGTGTTTTCTCAGATATTTCCTTTTCAATCTGTCTTTGCTGTTGTAGAATAAGCTCATCTTGGTTAACACTTGGTTCTAATCTGGTGTGCACTGTTTCCGTATTTTCATTCATTTTGACATTATAATTACAATCTCATGAAGAACTCAAGCTCACCTTACGGCTCTGATTCATGACACCACGAAAAATAACAATCACACTAAAACGGATGTTTACTAGCAAATTATGCAGAGTGTGTTTCATGACAACAATGAAACCGATATAGTGTCGTGAGTGGGGGTCTCAGATTGAAGTTCAGGGTCTTCCAGTTGGTGTTGTCACGACTGCTGTCCATGTTCTTTATATTCGTCATATACCAAATTTGATGACTTCATTGCCATTTGTAAATTGTCATATAGTAATAAGACCTACACTTTACCAAATGTAATACAATACGTTGAAATGGAACAACATACAAACCTAATATTTTTTTCTTTATTGCTTTTAGTTGTAGGTGGGTTTTACAATATTTACAGTTTGTGTAATTGTATCCATTGTATGATTTATTATATTTTAATGCACTCTGAAGAACTAAGATTATACATTCTAATAACGGTTTTATAGTGTTAATTTACAAAAGGAACTTTTATCTTATAATCGCGCTCTTTTTCTTGTTTCTGAACTCAGCTTAGCACTGCGTGACATGTTCAGAAATCTACAAGTTAAATTTATAGGGAAGTTAAAGCTCCATGCTATTCGGAAATGTGGTCCCACGTATCGAGAAAGTAACTAGTACATAAATATATCGAATACACTTAAAATAATTTATATATCAAGCATAAAAAGAACTGTTTTTGAAAATCCTAATAAATTTACATTAAATAACTCAAAGTAAATATATTAAATAAACGAATTAGTTGAAGGCTTACTTAATTGCATTTCTTCGAGCTTCAGTAAAAAGTTGGTGTTAATCCTTTAATTCGTCTGCGCTCTGTGAATTTGATGGTATTCGTTCACTTTTATGACACAATTATGTCGTACTACATAATAAATTATGTAGTACGACATAATTTTTTCCCAGGTCTTAAATAGATAATGATTTCGTAAGGTTTTTTTTCCGAATCGCTGAAATGTAGGAAAAGTAATTTACAAAAAATATGTTCTTAGGGCTAGGTGATGCTGGGAAAAGGTATATATGAATGATCAACAGTTTTCGATTATCCTAATAAGCACTAAGCAAATGCTATTCAGGTTTTACTTGTGGGGTATATCGTATTTGCGTTACCATGAAATTAATTTAACGAGACTTTTCACCGTGTTTATCTGATATACACTTAACATTATCTTCAGTCTCTAAATTATGTCCAATCATTTCAATCGCCAAATAAATAAAAAGTAAACTTACAGTACAGTCAGCGTCATGGTGTAAAATATATAGGTGTGTTACCTGGCCGCCTTTTGGACAAATTTTCTGAAGCCAGTTTGCGGCTATGTCCTCTTGTCCGTAAGGTGCGCACGATCTTTTTGGGTATTTATGATTGCGTCTGGGCGCATTCAGTATTTTCTGGTGTTTTCTTTGCAATAGAGCTTTATTGGTTACTGGACACTCACAGTAATTGGCATAGTAATATATACTCTCTGGTAATTGGAGAGACGACAATAAATGTATTGGACTCTTTCAAGTCGTATTAATTTTCATCGAGGTGTTAAATGTGATCTAGCGAGAGCCATGCATATTTGAAACTATATGATTCAAATATTAGCAAAGAATTTCCCTTTAAAAACAGGATTGGAAGTTGTTATAACGACAAAAAAATCCAATAGATATTACATTTACGAAAATCGCTTCAGCAGGCAACAGGTTTGTTCTTTGTAACTGCATCACCCTCATTGAAAAAAACATTTCATTGTCAATTATAATTTTATAGTAGAAATAATCTTTTGCGTTTTGTTTACAGATTACTTTATGAATTGAATTTTGCCTCGTTACTGATTCTTATGTACACGTTTTGCAATTAATAATTATACGAACTAAAATAATGCATTAGTTTTGTGTCACAGGTATGCATTCTAAATTAAGAACACTCACTACACATCTTTGAGGTCATTACATGTAATTAACAAAATCAAGATCTGGTCTGATTCCATAAAGAAGCTCTTCATTATCAGCCAACTGTGGAACCAGCTAGGAAATTATCTCTTTCCAAACAACACAAGAATTCAAATCCAAATATGAGGACTAAAGACCCATACCAATGAACTTGAGTACAGGACACATTTTTCCTTTTGTAGTGTGCAGTACAGCCCCTCCAATATATAATTCCAACTTGTCTGCAGCTTGAAATACATTATCAACATCAATATATGTACTACTAAACGAGGTATTTTCATTGTCAAATAAAATATTTAAGTTTTAATCTTCAGCACGAATGACCTCAAATTTAAAGATGTGTATTTTGAATCACTTCAAATCTGTATTTCAATATTAATAAGGTCAATTGGAAGTTGGCAGTGTCACAGTTCACGCGTGGACTCGTGACGCTTTGCTATGCGTGTCCAAGTTGAGGACGAGGTTCGGGCCTTCGGCCCTCGCGTTAACATAAAACATCCTTGAGTCTGTCCAACTCATTTTATGCGAATACCCATCTGAAAAATTATTTGGCGAGTAGGTGAACGTCAAGAGATGTCAATATCAAAGGAACCGTGGCTCCACCAATTTCCGATCAACCAGTAATAATATTCAATGTATACATATTTTCTAAAAGAATTACAAATATATATATATATATATATATATATATATATATATATATATATATATCTATATTGAAAACGAAGACGTTTTCTGTATTGTAATAATCAAAGTTGATCATAATTAAATAATAAATAAGTACTGAAATTGATCAGAGCAGTAACGCCGCGCGCCGCCGCTCCACCAACGGTCAAATGCGGGGGTAGACGGCGAGGCGAGCGACGCTGGAAAGTGGGGCAGAGAGGCCGTGAGTGAAACACGGACGGGTAGTGGTGCATCAAACAAGTTTATGGTGGTGTTAAGAACAGTTTGGATTGACTGTGGCCGTTAAGTGAGAGACTAGATTTGATGAAAGTTGATAATCAGGTGATTAGGGAAAGTGGAAGTGCGCACCAGGTCCGAGATCAAAACATTAATACAGGAATTCGTGTGGCCGACGACACGTGTTATCTTTCCGCCCGGGTGTAATGCAGCAGCGGGCCGTACTGTGCAGACATTCGCGCGAGATTGAGAGGGATTGCCTGAGACTGGAACTGCCGACGGGCGTCAATCGCGCGTCGTCGTGTTGGTGCCTGTGAGACATTGTTGTACCGGCTGGGGGGGGGGGGGTGGACTCGGCGAATCCATCGGCCGTTGCGTTGGGGCCAGCGGAGTTGATCGCCGAGGGAGAGCGATTTCCGACGGACTTCGGGGGGGACCGAAGGTTGCCGAAGACGCCGCCGCCGTTGCCACGGCGGCCCCGCTCGTCTCCAACCAGCAGGTGGTTCTAAAAAGCATCAAGGTAGCGTTGATTGTGCACTTATTACCAAAGGCCTTGCGCATTGCGTTTTGTAAACAATCTTTGTAAAGGGTGTTTCTATTATTAAAATATTTAAATGCACAAAAGAACCTCTGATGATCATCTTCTAATGCAGCGCCAAACCCCTGGAAGCCCATTCACGAAAATGTACCTGTTCTTTGTATAATTTATTTTGTCGTGAGAGTACCGCTTCCCAGATACGTCACAATATCTATATCTATATCTATATCTATATCTATATCTATATCTATATCTATATCTATATCTATATCTATATATATATATATATATATATATATATATATAAATTTGACATTTATTCAGAATTATTATTATTATTATTATTATTATTATTATTATTATTATTAATAGTCATTTGCCTGTACCTAAATTTCAAAATGCTGTTGGACATGAGCAAACCACTCATTGTAAAATTGACAAAGAATTTTCTTTTTCGAAAAGCCTTATTTTATTCTGGTAGCTTTTCATGTCATCTTAATTTCTGGTTATGTAGGACTTTTCTCACACAGAGTATTATGTGTTATGATTGTATTGTTGCCTATTTGTAGTGCTATGGAGGTGAATAAAAGTGGGGCATATTGTGCAATGGTTCTAATAAATGTTTTTTGTAGTATTAAAATTCGGCTCATCAGCCTCGTGTTGCAACATTTCCTACACGCAAAATAAAACGCAGCATTTACTATTCGTATCATAAATAATACTACATGTCAATAATAAAGACATTCTGCGCATTGTTAACAGCACATTAAATAGGCCATTTTGTATATCCATGAAAAAACAGCGGTTGCTAAGACAACTCGTCACGGGGAAAAATACTTAATTCTTATAAATTTAACGATGTACTCTTTAGTTACCCTCTACAACCTACTGTGATTCCCCGATATATCAAACACCTTATTGCAAGATAAAATTACAAACTTTTCCATATATTTTAATACATATAGTAAGGAGTTGCTCTACAGCTGTTGCCGTTTCTCCGCTCTCAGCCTCCATGCCTCTCTATCTGACCAGAGATCATCTTACATTTCTCTTGCCGTCATAGCCTCTTGCAGTCCCTGCTACCGTGCAAGTCTGGGTCTTCCTCTCTTCTTTCTGCCGGCACCCATTGCAGGAATCGTTTTGGCCTTCTTTCGTCTGTCATTCGCATAACATGACCCTACCAGACCATTTGTTTTTTCTCTATTTGATCACGGATATATTTCTTTACATCCATTTTCTTTCTTATATCGTTCCTCATTCTGTCATGTCTGCTGTAACAGCAACTTCTTCTCCAGAAGTCCATTTCAAGGGCCAGCACCTTCCCTCTTGTTCTTTTATCAACCTCCCTCACTTCTGAACAGTATGTTGTAAAACTCTTAACTAGAGTGGAGTAAAGACGTCTTTTAGTAGTTAGTGATAGTTTTGTTCCATTAGACGAAGTTCATACTTCGTGTCACGATTCTCCCCAAGCTTATTCGTCTCTCAACTTATCTTTGGCTATTTCTCTTTTTGTTAAAAAGTACACCCAAATATTTATATTTGTTTACTCCTTTCACTTTTCCTCCGTTTTCCAGAAGTTCTTCT